GATCAAGATTTATCAGATCTTCTTAGCATGCCTATTCAAATGCATACCTGAATGGCTGGAGAGCTGACAGTGTTCTGAAAGGCCTTGTCAAATATTCATCGTGAATGTTTGGCAGAACTGAAAACGTAATTCATATGGTGCCAGATGTACTTTATCTTCTGCAATAAAAAATAAAAATAAGAATTAAAAAAAGCTTCAGAAATATTGTTCTAGGGGAAAATATGTGGATGAGGAGAAAAGTGATTTATTGTCTTGAAAATAAAGATGAGCTATTTTGTGTTTGGAAAACTGACATATAGACTCACTCCAATTGGTTTGTCAGATAGTACCAAAACCAGAAAGATATCAATAGGTACGTTTTTCAGAAATTGTATGTTGCATGCTCCTCTACAGTAAGTTTTCCAGCTTATACAGAAGTTTCCTGTCTATTACAGCCCATTGCAAAAGAGTCAGCCATGATAGAACTTTTTATGTTTTGTGAGTGCATGGAACAAAAAGATAGCTATCTTAATTCATAATGATTTAATCCCCAGGTTTGGGATCAGTATGAAAAAATATATTTTTGTACTACAGAAGAGACAAGTTGCTCCTAAATATGCTCGCTCTTTGTTGATAATGTATTCCTCATTAATAACTAAGGCATTGTACTCATTTAGTATCTAGCTGTACTGCTCCTGTTCAGAAAAGCTACGGTGCTAATTATTCTGCCCTACTCAGAGACAAAATATCTGAACTTTGACTATGTTATATAAGGAAGCCAATGTGACAGGGATTTCTTCTTTCCTTTTTCAGTAAATGAATGTTAGATGTAGTCTGTGTTACTACACAGAACTATTTGCTCAAGTATCCAGTATCCTTGGTCTTCCCTCCCACACTTTGAAAGCATACAAAAAGGGTATTTTGTGTCAACATGCCCATAATGAATCTCTCATGGTTGTCACTTGAAATTCTGGGCCTTTTTATATATTTACATCTCTTTCCTGTTAAAATACTCTTAAAAGTTTGAAAAATTTAAATATTCTGGCTTCAATCAAATAAAACTTTTCACTTGATCATAAACTTTAAGTTTTGATTTCTGCTATTTTGTTTCTAATCAGAAGACAGTCCTCCACCTAACTTTTAATAAAAATCAAAGGAAATTGTTATCTAATCCAGTGCTGCATGTAATTACTTATATTTGTGCAGAGCAACTGTAAATTGAAATAAAAATATCCCATCAATACAGTCATTTATGTGTACTTTACATTCATATTTGCAGACAGAGTATTTAAATGGGATTAGTTGCAAAACAGCAAGAGTGCATACAGAAATATTAGGTATGACATTTGAGGTAATCTCTTCTTAGGGCAAAATCCTGCTTTTTAGTATAAATATATATATATATAAAAGTCTATGGTATGTTTCAGCAATGAGCTGATAGGCAAGTCGTGCCTGGTTACCTTTCCAGAGGAATTTCCTCCCCCAGCTGCTAAGGGCACATTTAAAAAATAAATAAATAAATAAATAAATAAAAATTATATGCCAGGGCTTTTGGTTTTGGGTGGGAAAGGGCTTTATGGTTTGTTTGTTTCTTTCTTCTTTTCTTTCTTTCTGTTTTTTTGTTGTTGTTGTTGTTGTTGTTGTTTTGTTTTGTTTTGTTTGTTTTTAAATGACCCAATCTTGTAGAAATTGTTAGTCCAGTTCTACAGCTTGTGAGAAATGAGAAATAGTGTAAAGTTACAGTGAACCCATCTGGCCAAGCAAGAAAATCTGGCTTAGTTGTTCTATTGCCAGAAATGTTAAATCACTTCCTGGGAATGCAATTCATTTGGACCATATGGAACTCGTTGGAAGGAGGTCCCAAGTGAATTCAAAAGTGTACTGGAGATGAGAGTACTTCTCATAAGTAACAACCATGTTTTCCCACTGGACAGCATGTAAGCAAGTATATGTAGCTGTACTAACAACAAAATTAAACCAATAACAGTACTGCCTGTGATGATGTTGAGCAAGCCTTCCTTACTGTTTACATTATTTAAAAGTTACAAGAAATGCTATGTTCATTTATGGTTTTGTTCTCAGCTTTTAAGTAACAAAAGAGTGTTCTGACAATTTTTAGCTCATTTTATTTCTTTGCCAAGAATAAAAAAAGCAAAGCATCTTGATTCAGTAGATTTACACTCTGTTTAGAAAACACATATAATTGAAAGTACTTTGTGTATAAAGATTTATAAAAATCTGGACCTTTATTTTTACTGAATTTTTTAATAAAGGAAGATTTACCATTTTTCTCTAAGCTAAGCAAATCTAAATCTTTGACTAAAAAAAGCCTTAAATCTAAATCTTTGACTAAAACAATGACACAAATTCTTAAATTCTAAAGAATTCCTGAGCAAAACTTGCTTATTTATAGTCTTGACTTAAGAAAAAAATTTTTCATCTTTCATAACTATTTTAATGGATTCAGAATTTATAAGTTTACCACTATACCATGTTCTAAGATAAACAATCCTGTTACTTGCAGTCCTTATGATCGAAAGGGTGATGATATTCCTTTGAAAAAATTACTTTCTATTCTGTTGTAAGGAAAACATTTTACTTTCATTACTTTTCCTGCTGCAGTAAATTTTTAGAGGCTTTTTTCGTTACTGGTGGTGGTTTTCTTGGTTGGTTCGTTTTTTTATTTGTATTCACAAGAATTTGAGAATATATTTGGATCCTGGAAAATATTGCATTATGTGCTGTGTACAAATACGTAACTCACTTCTTTGGTCAGTAAGACCAAATCAGAGAAAAAAAGTTTTGCTGACTTTCCAGTATTCAAGAGAGATGGTAAACAGGAAGGAAATCAACTTTTTCAATTGTAGATAGTGATAAAGGGGCAATGGTTTTAAACTAAAGGTGGAAACACTTAGAATAAATGTTAGGGGAAAGTTTTTCACTGAAAATATGGTATGGTGCTGAAACAGGCTGTCCAGAGATGCTGTGGATGCACCATCCCTGGAATCGTTAAAATTTGGAGGAAAAGTAACAACTGACAAGGTTAACAATGTTTTAAAATTGAAATTTACTACATGATAATATGAATAATGATGGAGATTATTACTTTATCTACTTTCTTTTTTTTTTGGCAATAGCAGTTCAGAAGTGCTCATTCAGATCAGAGAACCTTCCAGTGACTTGCATTACAGCTACTGGCAACATTATTACAATCCAAGAAGTTTGTCATAAAACTACCATAGAAATTACCTTTCTTGCTCATCACTCTTTCTTATCCTCCTGTAGACCCATACCTGCTTCATCCAAGTCCACTGAATTAAAGCCTTTCATCCTGACCTTGAACATTTGACCTTTGAAAGGCCTCCCCAGTCAATCTGTTGCCTCTTTCCATGACAGCTTATGATTTCAGAGCTGACACTTCTTATTGTCACATCATGTCTCTGTGAAGTATTTATTACTGTATATTGTTTATGATTTTATTTTTCTAAATGTTATAAAACATTCTATAGAGCAGGACAGAACAGATCTTAAAACAAATTTTTTCAAAAACTGTTTCAAGAAGTCTGAAGTTAACTGTCTTGTGATTTCTGTCCATCACTCCCCCTTTTTTTTCCTCTGGTGTCGGGAGTAGAAAAATTTTACTGAATAAAATGCCCTGAGAAAAAGTGTTGTAAAAATGCATAGGTCTCCTTGAAAGTAATGCCTTGTATTTATTTCCATAGAAAATTCAACGAAGATCTCAATAACATTATTTGATACAGCAAATTCTCAGCTACAAAGCATTACTTTTTAACATAGATACCACCACTAGCTATGCATTTTCACCAGCAATGAAAGAGCCTGTGTGTCATACCCATAAAAATCTGCATGGCCATCTGGAATGTAGCTTGTCTTTCACATCATTGTCATCTCTGCTGAAGCCCTCAACCTCACTATGCTGACGTCCACTGTTTGGGCTCCATAACCATTCAATAAGCATCAGTGAATGTCAACGGGTGCCATTTTTTCCATATGTAGGAATTGCATGATACATCTTTACTCCATATGCACTTCCATGCCAGGCTCCATTTTACAGGCTGCCCCTCAGCTGCTATCTGTTACACAGCTACAAAACGTAACAGAATATTGGAGGAAGATTCAACCTCTACTGTTGTACCACTGGCACCCACTTCTGACATCGTGGGCCAACATAGCAAATTAGGAGACATTACTTTCACAGCAACGTTCATAATACCTTGATTCCCATGGCAGTTCTATATACATTGCACACTCAATCCCATACTTCATCTGGCCTTTCTTACTTTAATCACAGTTGTGCATTCTTTAATTATTTGTATGTGTACCACATAAATTCCATTGTGCTATTAAATCAGCCTACAAACTATTTAATTTAAGAAAAATATGGTATGCTTTTCTTTTAACATGAAAAAAGTATAATGTCAAAAACAATTACAGCAATGTGAGAATATTTCTATTACTTTCCTTTGGAAAGATATAGAAAACAAAAGATAAATTAATAAACAAGAAGAAATAAAAGATAAATGAAAGAAATCAGCATGCTTTGCAAGTAAGTTTGAGCCCAAGCCCTGATTTCATGAATTCAATGGTAGAATTATTCTAGACTTCTTAAGTAGAAAGGTGTGTTTTATCTCATCTTCAGCTACAGTTTTCTATCTTCACTCCTTCAGATCTATTTAGTATTCTGGAATTTTGTGGGCATGTTTGCTAGGATGATTATTTCACAATGAAATCCCTGGAATATTGTGTTAACTCCATCTCCTCCCTTCTGTCCTCATCCTTTATTTATTTTGTAAGCAGTTATTAGTTTAATAATGGAAAGTCATTCAAATGGCAACTGTATGTTTCTAAATGTTTCTCACATTGAGACTTCTGTTCTTTTCAGACTTTCTGGACACTCATAAATTCTACATTAATATTTTATAATGTTTTCCCTAAATTCCTTATTTTTTTTTAACAGTGGCATTTTTTTTTTTCTTTTTTTTCTTCTTTTTTCTCTCCAGGCTATGCCAGTTATCTCAGAAAAGGAGAAGGCTGGTGAGTAAATTATTTCTTAATATCCTTGTATTTGCTTTCTGAAATATATCATTTTTTAACTAGCTGGGAAAATAATGTCTTTATCCATGGGATTTTGAATGTACGGGTTTAGAGATCTGTTAGATGTGTGTTATTTATTGTTTCCTGAGTGGGGCATTTCTCTTTCTGAAAAGTGTTCAGACTTCTGTGAAATATCACAGAGATATCATCTGTGTTTGATGTTATCTTGCAAAGCACCTTATTGAATTTATGCTATACCTTACATGTCATTCATATTATAGATGCTATTCTGACTTATTTGGTGTCTTGATTAGCAAACACAGATGCTAATGTGTTGGTTCAAGTTAGTGGGATTGGATGATTTAGTTTGAACTTTGCTATCTGTCTGTAAGTATGGCATGAAATTCTGTTTTTCTGAAGTACTTCACTGGAGATAGGAATTTTTATTTTGGCAAAATTTTTCACAGTATTAAAAGGCCAGTTTTCTATTCTTGTATGTTATATTTATTCTGCAAACACTGTACTTGATATGTGAAATATATTAGCGAGCTTAGTGAAAAATAAAAGCTGGCATTTTTGAATGGATGTGGTGTTGTGATGGGCACTCAAGAATGCTCCAGCTTCTATGGACCTCTGTAGCTTCTGCTGGTTTCTTCACCAGGCGTTTTAATTGATGATTTGCAATTGGAGTCTCAGCATTACCTCAAAATATTCAAATACCACCCAACATTCTGGGGTTATCTATTATTTTTGTTGATTATGTTTTCTTGTGTTATCCTGGTTCATGTAATTTATTTTATTTTGCTTATAAAATGGAAGGAATAGGTTAAAAACAGTTTTGGAGACAATTTCACTGTAAAAGCTATGGAGCTGTCTGATTGGGAAGCTGCTGATTTAGCTGTTGAATTTCATAAATAGTTCTGAAACCGTGATCAATGTTTAAGAATCATTTTCTATGTAGATTTCACAGATGGTATTATATTTTTACCTCACTGATAAAATGTTTTTGTTATACTGAGCATTGCAAACAAATAGAACATAATGTCATATGGAATCAGCTTGCTGACATTTCCCTGTACTTGAGCACAAACTGGACTTTGAATGGAAATGTAACTGTGTGTGTTTTTTGTTTTGTTTTTTTTTTAAATCAGTTTTGGATTTTCCCCCCTGACCCTTTGCAGCTCAGGAGTTATGAGGTTATGATGTTTTTTGGAAATATTGAGCATGCATTAGAGAAGTAATTATTTAGATCAGATTTATCGACTGAAATCACATGTCTGGTGGTAGCTCTTATACTATTTTTGTCAAATGCAATCGGATCAAGACTCAAATGTTCATTTCTCATGTTTTGTGATCTAAATAGTCTTTGATCACTGCTGCTTGTAGTTCACCAGATAAATGACATTACACAGAACTCACAAAAGACCAAGCCATAAGTAAGGTGTGAAGACATTCACAAAATAGTGACGTATTTGCATTTCTCCTGTAAGAGAACAAAACAAGTACTTTTTTTGATATTTGAAAACATGAGCACTTGAACTCTTTTTAGTTTATATTATTACAAACTAACTAAAGGAAATTGCAGAACAAAAAGAAAAGGCTGGTTTATTTCACTATTGACAATGCAAAGACCTCAAAGGTAACGAAATTGGATTGTGTTTTATTATTATTCGTTTTAAAGTGCATCCAAAATATCAAGTTGAACATCATCTCTGATTTTGAGGATTTAATGTAGTTAGGAATTATTTGTTTCCTCTTTCCTACCTAATATGGTTTGGTTTCATATAGGACTGGAATGAGAAATTCAAAGAAGTAAAATGCTGCTATCTCAGTGTTTCTGGTTCCGAAATTCTAGATATACAAATGAATACCTGTTTTCACAAGGCTTCCTATTCTATCAATTTCAGATGGTTTTGAATGCTTTTCTAATAGGCAGCCAATCTTAGACCCTTAAGTGGACCAAGCTGCTTAAGCAACTTATTTCACACATTATTGACTGTTTTATAGTAATTTTTAATCCTTGAAATAAAGTATTTCCTCAATACTATGCATTTTTCTCCCTACACTAAATTTAGACTACATCAAATGCAAATTTTCAGGTGGAAAAAAAAACCCACCAAATCTCAAAAACCAACAACTTTGCTACTTTTGTCAATTAGTAATTCAAGAGTTGCATGACTTAACTGGCAATTTTTTCCCCCCATGGAAAGTGCAGTAAAATCTGCAATTGCAGAATCCCCTTGGCGAAAATCTATAAATGACTAGAGTATTGAGTAGAACATCAGTCATGCCTGATGTTATTGCTCAAGTTGTGTGAATTAGGGCATTGCAAATGATGTACATCAGATATTTTTCAGAAAGACTTCTTAAAAAAGCATCAACATTATAACAACTCTGGCAATGGTGGAAAAAAAATCAGTCTTTCAAAACAACTCTGTTAAAGTAGAAGATCAAGCAGCAAGCACAGTCAGGGAAAATGATGGCTCAAGCCAAAAGATGACTCAGGGCTAGGACTATTAGCACCTAAACCAAAGTTGTGGGGCAGCAACGAGGTTCAAAACACTGTTTCCTTCTGATGCATCTCTTTATTTTGGATAATTTATGTATTCCTACCTTTGCTTACCTTTGTTTACAAATCACTGTTGTAATTTTTATTCTCAAATTCTGTTCATGAGCTATGATGAAATTTGAGAGAGGGAGGTTTCATTGCATCTGTTTATAGTTAGAGTGTCTGTGTCAGTGGTAGTGGTCTTGGCTTGATTTGTAGCCTATAAAAATAATCATTACCCTTGGTTCACCTGGCTGAATATCAGCATTTGTGTCACTGATGTGACTCACACTTTAAAAGATATGAATGGTGTCTGTTGGTTCTACAGTAGCTGGACAGTCAGGATGAATCCTGCAACAGATATCAATATTCATTTACAACAAATTACCATTGTGAGGCCCTATTCAAGGCTAAATTCATTTTCTGGAGCCATGTCACCAAAGGTGAACTGACTATACATGAACTGACTATACATATTACCTTGTCTGTGTCTCTTTGTGGATCTACTTCATGATTTCCCAATTTACCCTCAAATATTTGAAGAGAATAATGAACTCTGTTGTGACTTACAAACATTACTGTTCTAACAGAGCCAGCAGGAGGAAAAGGATGAAAATACACATCTGGTTAGAGACTGAACACAGCTTATTTCTCTTGAGGTGGTAAAGCTATGTGCTATCACATAAACAAGGCAGAAGGTTTAGTCTAGCCCTACATAAACATTAACACCATAGGTTCACAATATTCAGTATTATATATTCAATATACAATTTTTTCCTGCAAATAAAACAAGTGCCCTGCAGTATTCTGGTGGACTAGATTTTTAGCATATTAAAACAAAATAAGCTCTTTAAAGTCATTGAGTTTTAGCTCTTAAATATAAAATTGGATCAGTGTAAGAATGCAGAATGTGTAAATTTCATAAAAGTGCAATTGACGCTACTCATTTCTAGCAGTAAAAAGTTTGCAGCAGAACAGCAAGACACTATTAGGGGTTTAACTGATCGTACCAATGTACTCACTCTTTCTTTTAAGATGTATTCTGGAAAAAGTGCACAGATTGTTCAGGTGAAAATCACCATGTGGATCCTTCACCTCTGCACTTCTAGTGCAGAGAGGCCTACCTTGACAAAAATAAAAGTATCGATCTTTGAGGTTAGTTAGAACAGATTTGACAGCCCATTCCATGGTCAACAAGTAAGCAAGAGGACAAAGTATTAATCATCACCAAAGATGGCAGCCACATGAAATCTCAGTCCGATGTGAAGAGTTTGAAAGTTTATTGGCGCTAGTGTTTTAATATGGGCCTATCAATGAACAAGGTTCATTTATTTTTCTGCATCCCCTTTAAATTTCTGGTAACGATCCTCTTTAATATAGATCCGGTGTCTTTTGGTGCTCATTTCCCTTTGATTTGCAAGGAAGAAAAATACACAGACGATAAAAGGGCCTTTAACTGCAGGGTGTTTCCTCTGGCAGACTCTAACTGCTGGTGTCAGGCAGCAGAGGACACTTGGTGTTGACCACATAGTGAGCGGAGCTGCAGAGCATAGCGTGATGGAGTGATGACAAGACGGTTCAGGCCTGTCTGTGAGAACTCACAGCAGGAAGACCAGGGAAATTCAGTAGCAACACGTTCACTGTCAGTAAACAAAGTGCGTAAAGGACCAACTGTTTGGCACACTAGTAGAGATATTTAATTTAACTAAAGCTCTAATGAAAAAGGAAAAAGCTAAAATCTCAACTAGATTTTATAAACTACTTTATAAACTATGAGATTATTATATAAACTAGTTTATAAGCTATGAGACTGATTTTACTCACAGCTGGCTGTGATTAAGAGCACAATTTTATTTTATATTTCTGTCTCCTCCTATACACAGATGAAGTTTTTAACAGTATTGTTGTGTTATTTTTTTCCTAAGGTGCACAAAATTCTGTTATCAGCAGCACCCACTGGATGCTGTTTTCACAAATTCATTAAGGTCCATCTTTACATAACTTATTTCAAACCCAGATCAAACTTATTGGCCATGGGATACCAGTTTTCATATAAAGAGGAGAGAAACACAAGTCAGCTGTCATAGTTATTAGTCTTCTGGCTAATTTACAATATCTCCAGCCAATATTCTTAGAATAAAATGTGCAAAAGTATGTTTTTCCTTTTTGTAAGTATTGTATCTGGTTTTAGTAGAACAATTTTTTTATTAATTACTGTTTTTCTGAGACCTTAATATAAAGTACCTGTTCTCAGCTAAGTGATTCTATGATTCCACTTTGTGATTCTATTCTATGATTCTATGATTATTCTTTTACTGTTGATGTTGAAACAGTTATATGAATTGTTCTAGCTGAATGTTTGGTTTCTAAATAAAAATGTCAGGTGAGCTTTCACGCTTCAATCTGTCATACTGAAAAACAGCTACAGAAATCCTGCCAGAATATGCATGGA